ACAAGAATTTCTGCTAAAAAAAATTATTCTTGTCAAACTATAGGAGGGAAGGGGATAATAACGCGTTCTCTAGATGCGAACAAATCACAAGGCCGTAGGGTGACTGTGAGTTGTCCAGAGAAAGGTGACGTGGCTGGAAAGCTTGTGGTTTTGCCGGGTTCTGTGCGTGAGGTGTTGGATTTGGGTTTTGAAAAGTTTGGCTTTCGGCCCGATAAGATTTTGACCCAAGATGGCTACTCGGTTGAAGATTTGGCTGTCATAAGAGATGGTGACCATCTAATTCTCGCTAGTGATTCACATATGGCCGAAACACTTGCGTAAAATGCTAGATTAATTTTGTATTGGCAATGGTCGTTTTATGTATTTATGTATGTGTGTGTGTGTTCGAATGTATTCAGTAGTGCTTCGTGCAAAAGTATCTATTCATTTAGAAACCACCTTTTAGAAATTGTTGTGTCAAATATGTAACCTGAAAAAGCATAATCAATTAATTAAATCATTCGGTTTTCCAACAATTAATTATAGTACTTAAAAAATGTCGTTATTTTACATTTTAGATACTGGCCTGAGACTGAAGCTGCCTGTCGTTAAAGCTCACTGATCGATGCTTCAGTTCACCTCTTCGGGTAACCATCTCGTCTAATATCTCCGCAGAGGATACATTCGGAACACTCTCAGCATCATCCGTATCATCTAATTCCCTATGCTGTTTATCCCAAGAAATAAAAATAAAGAAAAAAAAAATGGGTCAAGAACCAAGAAAAATTAGAAGGAAAAATTGTGAACATATTTCATGCATGCATCATCAAGAGCAAAAACATTTAATGCTCTGGATGTATTTCAGAAATCAAAAAAAAAAAAAAAAAAAANAAAACCTTGATTTTGATCCAGAAGCAAATTTTAATGCTGTTTTAAGCAAATGAATGAAATCTCAGGTACCTTTATATAATTTAAACCTGCTGAAGAGGAAATTGTAAATTTACCTTGAAGGATAAACTCTTAGTCCTGACCGAGTACCCAATAATTTCTTCATACTCGGCTGCATCAAGCTCCTGAAGGTGACGATGTGGGAATATCTTGGGAAGGAGATGCTCTCTTATGCTTATCAGAAGGAAGAAAGGTAAAGGGAACAATATTCCAGCAATAGGTATCCATGTTATCCCAAAGCACAACAGAAAATACACAATCTGAAACAGTGTGAACATCAAGATGTACTTGAACGGCACCGACTCAACAAAAGAAGCATGGAAATCCTCGATAATTCTGCCAAGCAAAAGAATTGCAAATTAGTTTATAAAATTCAATTATCGATCGAGAAGTCTTGCTATAAACGGAATAAAACAAACCTCATCAAGTTCAGTTTAGTTGTAGAACACAACTTCTTTTCAAGATTACAATTAACCACTTGGCATTTGTTATTATTATGCAAATTGCACCATTAGAGCAAGGATAATGCATTAGTTTTAAGTAAACCCAAATATCATGCAGATAAATGTAATACTATAAAGGGAGGTCGTTTGCTTTACAGATTTTGAAAGTTGACCGTGGTTTGTGGTAATTAGGCCAAATTCCAAGAGGTAAATTTTGAAGTACCCCTGAATTTATATTATTAACACAATAAGCCCACTTAAAATTTCACAATTAGGGGGAAGGGGCTCTTTAGAAACGACTCCGCCAACTTTAAGTTATCCTAAAAAGGCATTTTGAAACCTTCTCATATTCATGAAAATTTTGCAGTTGCTCCATTTAATTCAAGACAGACTCGAACCTGCACGGATATCATGAAACTTCAAAAAAAATTCATTGTATAAATATTTGCATGTTCCGGGAGTAGTCTTCATAAATCTCATCGCCAAAGAGCTTTGATTATTCAAGATATCTCAGTTAACAACAAGCATACCTATTTATGTAGCTGTCGAACACCTAGGCAGACTTATACTCAATAGTTGAACACTTGAGACAGACATTATACTACTTCCAATATCCCTAATATGATAAACTAAAAAGAAAAGAATACGCAAAGTAAAGATA